AACAAGAAAGTGACAGCAAAAAATAAGCTAACCACAGAGTTAATCAAGAAAAGTAATAGATAAGAGAGAAGAAAACGCAAGGAAGACATAATATAATACCTAAAATATATAATTACAGAACACTGACGCTGGGAATCAACCCCGTCCGTACCAAGAAAGACGAAACCCGTCTCCCGTTCGAAATGGCGGAATTTGATAACACGCCAGGAATATATTATGAAAAAATTGGAAACCTGCATCAAACCAACCGAATGTGAAAGCTAGTTATTAAATTAGATATAACTGAACTAAATGATAGAACATGGCAAGTAAACCAATACATCGAACAAACAAGCAAAATGTGCACCGAGGCTAATTTCGAAAGAAGCATCCAACGAACTTGCGAGAATCTTAAAAAAATAATTAATAATGATGCTAATACCTTAGCTAAAATAATAAAATTGATAAATACTTTATATAAGGCTCGAACGAATAAACGTAGAGGTCTAATCGACGGAATAGGTGCGATAACGAAAACTTTATTCGGAATTATGGATGCGAACGATAGAAAATTAATAAACGAACAGATACAGTTGTTACAAAATAATCAGCAAACATTGGAACACGCAACGAAAAATCAAATCAAAGTCCTAAACACCACTATAATTCATTTAAATAAATTAGAGAATATATTAGATTATAACGGTAAATTAATGAACCACTACATTAGGGAATACACTACGCGCGAGGAAATAGACGAACATTTCACCATAATCATAGCAATGATTAACGATTTAATTAGGGATGCAAAAGACATTTTAGAATATCTTACATATGTACGTAAGGGCACAATACATCCTTTGCTAACGCCGATAAATGAAATTATTCTACATTTAAAAGAAGCGATAGTACAGTTACCGCAAGGAGCATATTTTCCATTTCAAATAAAAAACGACGAATGGCTAACGATCGAAAATTATATAAAAGTAAGCGCGTATTGCGAGAAAACAAGCATATACACAATCTTAAAATTTCCATTAATTACACAACCAATATTTGACATCTTAAATGTAATTCCGTTACCGACACCTAACTACGAAAATAATTTTATACATACGGAAGTAACTAATAAGTTGATTGCTATAAATAAAGAAACACATACCTATCTAATTCTAAAAAAACAAGATTTAAACGAGTGTACAAATAGTAATAATTTATATATATGCGAAAAGAATCAACCGATCTATTATGTTAACGAAAATACACCGTGCGAAGCGAAAATTTATGTACAAGGACAAAATTATCGAAATCAATGTAATATAGGTCATAAGAAAGCGACTCACACAATATGGATCACATTACAACAACCGCACTCTTGGTTATATTCGACTGCATTCGAGCAGCATATTACAATAAAATGTAGTGATCACCCCGAATATAAAAAGATAATAAAAAACACAGGTCGAATTACGTTATATGATAACTGTAAACTAACTACTACAGACATGACGATACAGACAGAAACGATCACGTATAATACAAATATAGAAACATTTTTACCAGAATTTAATATAACGATCAAAGAAATTAACGACACACAAAATCGCGATTACGAATTTAAAAGAATTATAAATAATCCATTAGAATTAAAAGGACTAAGCAAAAAACTAAAAGAAATTAACGACAACTTAAATAATAACGACAGCAATTTTTTCAAACAAAAACAATTCATTTATACAACAGCTTCTAGTGGAATAACTATTTTAATAATTATAGCATTAGTAGCTTGGATAATTATCCAGCATAGGAAAAGAAAACCTAAACAACCAGCTATTATTACCTTAGTAGACGAAGTTGACAAATCGTATAGAATGCCTAAACCGATATTAAAAAGAAATAGAAGCACACAGTTTTAAAAACAAAAAGGGTATAAGCTAGATATAAGAAACGATTGTAATCACATTGTAAAACGGGAAAAAACATTATATTATATTCAATTCGTATTATAGAAAAACTTCGTTAAACCTCCGTTTTTCTTTTTTAACGGGGGAGGGATGTTATAGCCTTGCAGACTATAACCTATTTAAATATTAGTACATATATATAATTAAATTAAGTGTCAGCATGAAATACTGTTGAGAAATGCGGCAGCCTGATAGAATCGCTGCCTCAGCAATCCAAGCGTAAGAACGTTCACCCGGAAGCGCGAAAACGCTAACGAAGGAATTCAACTTTGAACTTCCTTCATTAGCACTTGGACTTTGGACGACCCAGAAAAACCTCCATGACCATACATGGTCATGTCGCCGGGCGATCCCCTCCAAAAAATCCCCAAAATTAAGGGAATAAAAGCCGTCCACCGCGGATCCGCGGCGGACAGTCATAAACAGTGAATCTATAGTCAGAATAGTGCGCGAAGACTAACCGTTGATAAGACATAGTGCGAATCCGAGGGCTAGCCGCCAAACCGAGCTACGAAGCCCCGTAATAATAACTAATCACGAGAGGATCCAGGAAAGGACGACATTAAGGCCTGAGAAAACCGACTAAAAATAAGGGATAAATAAGTATATTCTGTTAAATAAATTTCTGTTGCTAAATAATTGGAGCGATCATTTTCCTCTCCCGGCTACCCCACACCCTGTGCCGCGCCGGGCACAACATATGTTATATGAATAGTTATTACATATAAAAAAATTGAATGATTTTGAGCAGATGCTAATTATATATTATATTTATTTCTTATAAGTAAAAATTTATAACTTTTATAACTTTTAAGTAAAAGTTTTATATTTTAGAGATTTAAAGATTAAAAATTTCATTTTTTTTAAAATAAAGCTCTTTAAGTGAACTTACTTTTTTATATAAAATGATTTTGTAATATTTAAACAATTATAAGGATATAAAATAAGTAAAAATTGAATAGTTTAGTTTATTATCTATAGTTTGTATATATCCTATATATAACTATAGATTTTATTTTAAAAATATATAATTGTAAAATTTTAATTTAAAAATTTTTCTCAAATTTTTACGTTATCTTGCAACTGTGTTGGCAATTTGTAGATTTGTTCTTTGCAATGTCTTTGTAATGTTTCATTGCAACTTGCAAAATTGCAATGAAACATTACAGAGACATTCCTACAATGTAATTGTAATAATTTGTATTGTATGCAGGTTCTCTCGTTTTATCAAACATAGAAGTATTTTTAACTCACTCCAAAACGTAAATAGCATCTATAGTAAGGATTCAAACGTCTAGTCCGTGGGCCGTACCTTTGACACCCCTGATCTATGGTATGTCTATTATGCCTATGTATATACTACACGATGTGGTAAAAGATAACGATTTCGTTGTATTAATGAGAGCTTGCTATTTCCAGTTTGACTGCATCGAAAGAATAAGTAAGATTAAGTGTATTAATTATTAAATACACATTTAAGTGTTGATACGCGTTAAGTGCACAAGTATTAATACGCGATTAAGAACACGTTTAAGTGTTACGCAACTGAATATAAGAACACGATTAAAATTTATTTTCAACAGAACTTTGTTGAGGTAAGTTTACCATAATACCACAATATAATAAATTATAAGTTTATAATGTAATAAATTGTTATATTAAATTAATAGACACACACCACATATACATATACTTATTCACATTATTATTATTATGCAGATTATTATGAATGCTTTCTAACAATATATACAATGCTCCGATTTTATAACTTTTATTAACGACGATAACATTATTATTAATATTATTGTATACATATTTTGATGTTAAAATATGTATATAATACATGATAATGATAATGATATTATCGTTAAAAATTATAAAATCGTAGTATAAATAAAACCATAAAATATAGTATATATATATATATATATATATATATATATATATTTCAGTTTTGTAATTTTAAAAGATATAAATATGTAATATACAAATTTATATTTATATATTTGTATATTTATTAATCTTAATTTGAAAACGATTCATTTTCAAGTGAATAAATACTTTACAATATATTTAATACTTTTACAATATATTTGCTAATTGATTTTAATTTTATCAGAAGTTTTTAATTTTATCAGATATTATTTTTTCTATAAGTTTCGATGAATAAAACATTGTTTACATTATAATATGTATAACATTTTTATGAATAATTTATTAAAATTTGTAAAAAATGTAATAATATTTAAAGAAAATTAAAATAATTCTTATTTGAAAGCTTAATAATATCATAAAACTTATATATAACTTATATATTACTTAATTTATATTAATTGTATTATTGTGTAAATGTAAAAGTATTATCATAACACTTTTTTTACAATTCAATTTATTAAGAAGAAATAGATCGAAATATTTAGATTTCTAATCTTGAATTGAGAAGAAAAATAAATCAAAATGTTTGCATTTTTAATCTTAAGTTAAAAAAAATAAATCAAAAATTGTCTACATTTCTATTTCTATATAAACAATTAAAATTATGTTTGTATATTGAATATTATGAAAGGCTACAATGGTTCTTTGTATTAATTTTTCTAATTGTACGTTTTAAATACTTTTGTGTCATTCAAATAATTTGCAATTTTATTTTAAGAAGAGAATCTATAATAATTTTGCATATAATTTACATTATGATTTACAAAAAAAAACATTGACATTTAAAACATGACAAATTATTGATATAGAAGAATGAATAGAATATGTAAATTGTATTTTTTATATTTTCATCCCGTAATCAGGAAATAATATTTTTTAAAACATTTTTAAAAATTTTTATAAAATATTTTTGAAACACTATTTTAAAGCATTAAAATTATAAATCTTTTTTAATTCATTAAAAAAAAATAATTATTTTAATATTTTCTTTAAATTATTATTTCAAACAACAGATTCATGTAAAATAATTAATGAAATATATATATATATATATATATCTCATCTTTGTATATTTTGTAGGATAATTATTAATTTTGCATCTTTACAATATTAAATCTAAAAATGTCACAATATAATTTGGATGATTCGGAAGATCATAACTCAAATCATATATTTCAAAACTCTGAAAATCATATTGATAAACTTATTGAAATTGACAATTTAAATGCAATGGAACTATTAACACCAAGTGATGTACTTGAAAGTATACAAATGTATGATTCAACAGTGTAAGTAAAAAGTTTATGAAAATTGAAGAAAAAAAAAGGAATAACAATTATAAATAAAATAGAATAAACAATTATTTTAATTAATTTTCATTATTCTTTTATATTTTTTGTATTCTTTGCATTTTTTGCATTATTTTTTGTATTATTTATTGTTTTTAAAATTTTAATAATTAATCTTAATATTAATTTAAAAAAAAAAAATATATATATATATATATATATATATATATACATACACACACACACACATATCCAATGTAACATAAATAATGCAAAAAATACAAAAGAATAATGAAAATTAATTAAAATAATTGTTTATTCTGTTCGGTTTATACATATATATACACACACACACATACACATAACACATGTACTCACAAAGTAAATTATAAATTACGAAGAAACCTGTTGATTTTATTAAAATTTGATTTTATAAAAACTTTTATTAGTATAAAGAATATGCAATAAAAGTAAGGAATTTAATTTAAAAAATTCAAAGTAAGTTTCCCTTGATTTTGAAGACTTAAAATTAAACTAATAAAATCAATAAATAGATCTCTTTTTTAAACTCTAATTTTTATCTGAAATATTTTTTATAAATTTATAAAACAATTTTACATTATTTTGATCTGTAGAATATATAAAAGATGTTTGACAATAAGTAAGACAAAATTTAAGGAATGATTCTACATGATAAAATAAAACAAAAATCAAAAGTAACAAAATTTTTGTAGAGACTTCATTTTTTAATTATAAATATTTAAAAGTTTGTTTAAAAAGTATCCAGAATTTAGCAATTCACTGTACACTTTTGCGTTACATAATATTTTAAGAGCGATATAGCTTATGCTCGCTAAAAATTTTGTAGATTACCATGTTTCAGACACCTTTCACACAAATTTTCAAATACTTATAATTAAAAAAAACGAAGCTTTCATTGAATTTTTGTTATTCTTGATTTTCGTCTTATTTTATCAAGTAGAATCATTTCTTAAACTTTATCCCGCCTGTTGTCGAACATCTTGTATATATATATATATATATATATATATATATATATATATATATATGAATATGTGTAAAGTGTGCGCGCCTTCTAATTTATTATTAATTATATTAATTATATTAATTAAATTATATTATTAATTATATTAATTAAATTATATTAGTGAAATTGTTGGCTATGTTGATAACATCGAATCTCCACGTTGCGTGGGCTCGCAACAACAATATAAGTTCTTCAAATTTTATTTAAATAACGGAAAAGGAAAAAGGGTTCAAATTGTTGCCTGGAATGATGACATTGATTTTGTGGAACATCATATAAAAGTAAACACTGTAAGTATTATTATTATTTTTAATTTTTAATTTTTATTTATTTATTAATGTTTCCGTGAAATATTTTTTGTTGTTCATGTTCTATAAATATATTCTTTATAAATATAAATAAATAAATAATTAATATATATATATATATATATATATATATATATAACATTTTCATTTTAGATACTTATTATAAATAAATAAATATATATATATATATATATATGTATATATATATATATATACATATATATATATATTTATTTATTTATTTATAATAAGTATCTAAAATGAAAATGTTTACTAAAAAATTCTTATAAATTATTAGAAGAGGAAAAAAATATATATACATATACACTGTATACACATATAATATGCAATTTACGATAAAATGTAAACTTTATAAATTTTTATAAGTATTAATGAATCTTCATATGTGCGTATTCTTTGTGTCAAAAAAAATGTAAAAAAGATAGTCTAGAAAATCATGTATATACGTCGTTATATTTAATCTACTGTCTAAAGAAATATTTAAATCATCATTATTTGATTTTGAATCAAGTCGTTCTATCTTACAATTAATTTAATATATACACACAGTGATATTGCTTTTATCGCTAACAGTATTTTTATTATTTTATAGACACAATTGGTGTAATATAAAATAAATATTAGAAATAAGAATCAAATATTAAACATTAGGAAACGAGAGAAAAATAGAAAGATCTATATTTTTTTCTTTTCTTGATATTTAATATTTAACTTTTATTCTCAATACATTGTTTTTATTATACATTACATATTATTATACATTTTTTATTACATTTTTATTATACATTACATATTATTATTTCACGTTTTTATTATACATTACGTATATTACATATTATTATACATCACATTAGGTTTTAATAATAGTTGATATTTGCTTATAAATCATTCTGTGTTAAACAAATTACTTACAAATAAAAATTCTTTTTAAGTTGTGAATTTATATACAAATGAAATATATATATTATATATATTATATATATATATATATATATATTATATATATTATATATATTACGTTAGAGATATATACAAATACGTTACAGATATATATAAATAAACATATCTATTCTTTATCGTAAATAGCATTTGTACATGTATATTTCACACAACACACGTGTGTGTGTGTGTGTGTGTGTGTGTGTGTGTGTGTGTGTGTGTGTGTATAATATATAATTCATTACATATTTCACATAATATGTATATAATATGTAATTTTTCATTGATAATTTTTGACCCAAAATCCTATTTTATAACATATATAATACAAAGAATATATTATATAACATAATCTATAATATTAATAATATTATAATACAAAGAATATATTATATAACATAATCTATAACATAACAATATATTATAAAAATTATTATATTAATAATAATATGCATAATAATTACAATAAAATTACATATGTAGTGTTATACTTTTAAACAAATATAATGTGTGTATTTTATCTATCATTCTTTTCATAATCTTTTAATTTCGATATTTATATTAATATAATTATACACATTATTATATTATTTTATTAAATATTATTATTTTATTAAAATATAAAATATTTAATTTATAACTTGTAATTCTTTAAAAATTTATGTAAAATATATGTATAATTATATTTTTAATATTAAAATACATTTCATAAAATAGATTATTCATTTGGATGGTACTCAGGCACGTCCACCAAAAATACCTCAATTCAACAATGGTAATATGCCGTATGAGCTATTAATAAAATCAAATACAATAATTTCAAATCTTGGAAAATTTGAACCAATGGAAATAGTAGATACCACACCTGAGACAATTGAATTATCTGATGTATTAATGCTACAAAAAATCGCATTAGTGAGTATTCTTTATATAATTTCTTTTTTTTATTAATATAATATTATAATATAAATATAAAAATATATAAATATTTTTCATATAATTTTTTAATCCATATACCTTTTTTTAATTAATACGTTATTAGAATTTGAAATAAATATAGTATAATAAATAAATATTTTTTTTATATCAATCGTTTACATATCAAACATTCAAATTTTAAATTGTTTAAAATTATTTTTTAAACTAATTATTCTACTTATTCTTCCATAAACTTCAATTATTTGGTTGTTTTTAAATTTTGAATAATTGAAATCTATTTAAAAAATATAGTTTTAAAAAATTAAATAAATGAAAATGATTGATATTTAGATGATATCAGAAAAAAATTTATTCGTTATAAATGATTCAGATATTAAGTGATCCATGCAAATTTGATTTTAAATTATTAAAAGATTTAAAACATAGATAATATGTTCTATTATTATTTAAGACAATTATGCGAAACATTTGTTAAAATTTTAAAAGAAACGCTCTATAAATGACAACGGTTATATAGTAATAATGGACTGTCTTTTCTCATCACGAACTAATACTTACGTAAATTGGTGAATTTTTCTTAATTAATTTCTCATTAATTGTTGTAAGAATCATAAAATGATAAAAAATTCTTCTTTTTTCTGTTTAACTTCTTCTATATACAAGAGAGATAATGTAGTTGTTATTATTGGATACACTGCACATACACATACATATTCATACTTACACACACAATAAAGTTATTTATATTAAAATACTATGAAATAAACTATAATTATGATTATTATAATTATAAAAATTAAATTACAATGTTTTTAATATAAAGATGACTATTATAATTAAGAAATGAGTTATTTTTCAGGACTTATATTTATATAGCTTTTTATCTTTTTTTCCGGTCCCGAATCACTTCTCGAAGTATTGCGGGCAGTTTTTCGAACACTATATATAATATAGGCGTATATATATATAAAATCAAAAATTTTATTAAAAAATAATAACAGGATTATTGATAATATAATATAAAATATTATTTATATCTTTTAGAATTTTCTTATATTTATTTAAAATAGAACAATATATTTTATATATAACCCAGACAGCACACAGATATTCATAAAATATTCTACAAATATCCTTGAAGGATATTGAAAATATCCATAAAATGTCCGTTTTATGTTCCTCAAATATACAGTGGATATCCTTAGCATATCCGAATATGAAATTGGAGTACATAATTTAAACCCTGATGTGTCCAAAAGACATCCGATGGACGATTATTGGACATAAATTAGCAATAACAAATATACAAAACGGATTTTATATGGACATAATAAGGAGATGAAAAAGGGATTACATACAAAATTTGAATTTACACATTAAAAAGATAAAATATATATTTTTTTAAGCAATACATTTATTAAAGAAAATTTATATCACATATACATTAATGCAATATCACATATTATTTAAATGTTACTTTTTTTGCACAAAACTATTATAAAACAGATAATTAAAAAAAAAATGTATATTATATGTGTGAAAAAAGAACAATCTTTATGATCTAAACATATAATTTTTAAACGAAACATATATATTTCAATCCCTAAATAATAATATAATTTATTTTATATAAAATTTTACATAAAAATTTTATATAAAAAATTTATTTGTAATTTATACTTGCATATTGCACTTTACATCTTAAATAAATAATGAACAATTATTTTCGTTTATTTGCCGGACATTTACTTGTCCGACTTATAAAATCAATTTAATATCCGAAACCCGTGCTTTTAGGTCAGAAATTAAATTGAACAATACATTTTTAATTTTATTTGTTACCTTTTGCAAACTTTATATAATTCTCATAACTAAAACTTAAATACGAGAAAGATAGTGCATCGCACGTCACGTAGCGGTAAACGAACGAACTAATACATGCTTGCGTGCTCGCGAGAAACTTTGACCTCCAAGACCGGACATCTTGTGGACGTCCAAATATTGACTACTAACAGATGTCTTAAATCGGATGTACAATGGACGTTTATTTTATGTCCATGGACGTGCAGACGTAAAATGGACATAAAATGAATGTCCGTAGAATGTCCTGTGCTGTCTGGGAATTATTATTATTTTTGTTAATATATATTCGTCAAATATTTCTAGTATTGAGAGGATACGTAAAGACGAATTTTGCTGAAGTATATAACAACAACATGAACAAAATTATTGGATGTGGTGCAATAACTGATGGCACATTCAAACTGGAAATTCATGTAATAAATTTTAGTAACGATGATTATACTTTACTTGATATTAGAAAAGGTGATCATATAGAAATTATTGGTATCATGCAAACTACAGGTAATAAACTGTAACGATGCACCCCGAAATGCATCGTTTCCCGGCAAACATCAGCCGGAAGCTGCCGCCCGACGACCACCGGTCGGGCAGAGGCAGAGGGCTGTGTGCCCACTTTTTGAAACTTAGCAAAAAGCCGGGTAGGAAGTCCGACAGAACATCGTCGGCCGGGAGCCGCCGATTGAGAACCGCACGCGGCATCCCGAACACCGTCACCGGGAGCCGCCGAATGAGAACTCCGCGACGAATATACCGTTATTTTTCCGTCGCCCGGTGGGAGTTAATAACAAATACGCCGGCGCGTGCCGCAATTAGCGGTATAAAATAGGCTCCCGGTGACACTTGAGATCAGATCCTTCCGATCCTCCTAGCCGAGCTAGTCTGAAGGCAAGCTACGAGAAAGAGGAAATCCTGCGAGATCAGAAGGCCAGAAGGTAGTGCGAACGCTGCCTCCGCCGATTGATATCGGTGCCTTCACAAATCGCCTCCAAATATACTTCAGGTGTCGCATCTATCCCGAGGTGGAACACGAGCCGCCTCCGACGCTTGCTAGCGTCGCGACGCCATCCTACTCCTAATATCCTTCGGAAACAAATAATTCTTAAAGGGCCATCCCACCGGGCTTAAAGCGAGCGCAATAAACCGTGCGCAAAAACGCGCGCGATAAGAAAGTAAAGGACGCATCTAATACCGCGAACGGCGCGATTGCAGTCCGCCGAAATTATAGTTTATATTTGCATACTCCGGTATTGCGACCGTATCCTCGCCTGTACTCGAGACCCGAGGCACCGTTACTATTGTTACCGCAATTAGATAGTTTATATTTATATCGCGCCTCACCGCCGCCCGCTCCAAGCGAACGAGCGATTTATCGATCTATCGCGCTTTAACACTCGCGGCGACCGAAATCACACACACATACACACACACACACACTTGTAACGCATACATATACAAATACACGCATCAATTAAGCACACGTACATCTTATTCTCTGTACCTGGAACCGACGGCTATCCGCAATCAGAAATTCGCGGTACGGGAAAGAAAACCGCGTGTCACATTGGCGCCCGAACACTGGACTCGAAGAATTGAGAAGCGAGCCGTTTCATTGTTTTGTGTATTGCGAGAATATTTTGTTGGTTGCTTATTATTGTTATAAACCGCAGCCATGAAGCGGTGGATCTACGGGTTACCGAAATCACAATTAGCGGCAATCGCGCGATCCTACGGCATCGACGACTCGGGACTGCTGGACGATCTTCGACGGCGTATGAGCGGGTACGTGGACAATCATCCCGACGAATTCGAGGCGTGGGGTCGGGAATCAATCAGCGACTTTGCACCGGTCACCGCCATTAACCCGCCCGGGACCCCCGAGGTCCACTCATACGAGGTCACGGACGCGAAAACAATTAATCAGATTCGTAAGTGGGGATGTCATTTCGATGGACGGGACCCCGCCGCCTTTATCGAACGCCTGCAGGAACTGCGGGACGGTTACGGATTTTCGGGAGCTCATATGCGCCTCCCTGAGGTGCTGAAGGGGGATACCCTTTTATGGTATCTCTATCACCGCGAAGACTGGCAGACTTGGGAGGATTTTGAACGCGCTTTCCGGTTGCAATATTTTCCCCGCCGATACACCGCCTCCCTCCGCCGCGAAATCATGGGGCGGTATCAGAAGGTCGACGAGCCGTTCATGCACTACTCGACGGTAATGATGACCTTGATGCGCCGGGCCGGGGGTTTTTCTCGCGCAGAGCAGCTCGAAATCCTGTACGACAATATGAATCCAGAATACAAAACTTATGTCCGAGTCGACGACGTGCGCGACTTAACCGACCTACAGAGTCGGGCCCGAGAATTCGAGGACATCGAAAAAGAAAAGCGGGATGCTCGGAAAAGGGAGAAAACGGCGGTTGCTCCGACAGTGGCCGCCGTGTATAATAAAACGGAATGCTGCTGGCGTTGCAAGCAGCGGGGGCACACCCGCGCGCAGTGCCGTCGGCCGGCCAAGAAATTCTGTTCACAGTGTGGGAAGGACGGGGTCCTTACCTCCGAATGTCACCCGCGGCCGGAAAACACCTCCGGGGCTGGCGCTATCGCGGCCGCAATCGCCACCCCAGACACCGCATAAAATTTTTACCGCGACCGCACCTCCGGATAGAAATTGGGGGTATACAGCTCGACGCTCTTATTGACTCGGGCTCCGAAATCTCGCTACTCAACGGCCATACCGCGAACCGGCTACGAACAACTGGAATAGAAGAACGGACGGGAGAAGGACAGATTGTGCTCGTGGACGGGACCGCCGTCGATGCACCCAGCACCCTCACCGTTCCCATACGCATAAAAAGCTCGGCGGTAACGCATACATTCTCGGTCGTGCCTAACATGGAAAGTGACGTGCTCCTGGGCATCGATGCGCAGGCGAAGCTACGACTGGGGATTCCTCCACCACCATTCCCCATCAGCCGGAACGGGAAACCATGTTGTGCAGCCGAGGGATTGGCCAACCAGACACCCGAGGAAAACAGACGATTGCAAGAATTTCTAGGAGAGGAATTGAAGAAATTCGACGGTATCAAGGGACCCACCGGAAGGGCCCAGCACCAGATCCGCCTGACAGACCCTACACCGATCAAGCAACGATACCGGCCCCGCAATCCGGCCATGCAGGCCGTAATTAATGCCGAAGTAGACGAGATGTTGGAGCACGATATCATTGAACCCTCGAGCAGCCCATGGAGCTCTCCGGTGGTCCTAGTCAAAAAGAAGAACGGATCATACCGATTTTGCGTAGATTTCCGACGTGTGAATGACGTCACCCACCGAGACGCGTACCCGTTACCCCAGGTCACGGCGACATTAGACAAGCTGACGGGGGCGCGATATTTGTCGACGTTGGACTTAAAAAGCGGGTACTGGCAGATACCTCTCACGCCGGAAAGTCGCCCCATCACAGCATTTACAGTGCCGGGGAAAGGGCTCTTCCAGTTTAAGGTCATGCCCTTCGGGCTACATTCGGCACCCGCCACCTTCCAACGGTTGCTGGATTCCGTACTCGGGCCCGAATTAGAACCACACGTCTTCGTGTATCTGGACGATATCATTGTCATTAGTCGCACATTCCCCGAACACCTGAGACTGCTCGCCGAGACATTCCGCCGGCTCCGAGAAGCGCATCTTAAACTGAACCCCGAAAAGTGTCGGTTCTGCGTCGACCGACTGAAATACCTGGGGCACGTAATCGACCGCGAGGGGATCCGGACCGACCCGGAAAAAGTAAGCGCCGTGGCCGATTGGCCCGAACCAACCACGGTGAGACAAGTCCGACAGTTCCTCGGTATGGCCTCCTGGTATCGCCGGTTCATCGCAAACTTTTCTACCGTTGCCGCTCCCTTGACGCGTCTCACACGGAAACACGCGCGCTGGGAATGGGGACCGGAAGAACTAGCCGCGTTCCAAGTTTTAAAACGAGAGCTGGTTTCTGCGCCAGTACTCGCCTGTCCGGATTACACCCGCCGGTTTTTCCTACAAACAGACGCCAGCAGCACGGGGCTGGGAGCGGTATTAACGCAGAGATACGAGGACGGCGATCGTGTCATCGCTTACGCGAGCCGCACCCTCAACTCGACCGAACGCAATTATAGCACAACCGAACTTGAGTGCCTCGCGATCGTCTGGGGAGTTCGGCGGATGAGGAGTTATTTGGAGGGCTACGCCTTCACGGTGGTGACCGACCACCAAGCCCTCAAGTGGTTACGGAAGCTCGAATCACCGACCGGGCGCCTCGGACGATGGAACCTAGAAGCACGAATTCGAGATACAATACCGTCGCGGGGTACTCAACCGCGTTGCGGATGCTTTGTCACATCAACCCGTAAACTGCGCCGCCCGCACCGATCACTGCAAGTGGTACCAGAAAATCGTGCGGGAAGTACGAGAAGTCCCGGAGTCCCGACCTGAATATAAAATCAACGAGGGACGACTCTACCGCCATATTTTGCACAGCCTGAATTTCAAGGAGACGAGCCCGGAACAGCAATGGAAGCTGTGTATTCCGACGCCGCTACGCCAAAACGTCCTGAAGAGATTCCACGACGCTCCCACTGCAGGACACCTAGGGATCGCGAAAACCATCGCGAGGATCACCGAGAAGTATAACTGGCCCGGGATGTTCCGGGATATCGGTAAATACGTCCGGGCGTGTACAAACTGCCAGAGCCACAAGGCGGCCCAACAACGGCCGGCCGGGACCTTGCACGCCACGCATATCTCGCGACCTTGGGAACAAGCTACGCTCGACTTAGTAGGGCCCCTACCCAGGTCAAAGAAGGGGCACACCTGGCTCCTCTCAATCCAGGACCGCTTTACGAAGTGGGCCGAATTCGTTCCCCTTCGTCGTGCCACGGCCGAAGCCGTAACCAGGGCCATCACCGATAATCTCATACTACGACACGGGAGGCCAGACGCCATCTTTACAGACAACGGCACGCAACTCAGGTCAAGATTATTGGAAGAACGCCTAGCGGCTCTGAACATACGGCACCTCACCGCCCCGGCATACGCGCCCCACTGTAATCCGGTCGAACGGACAAATAGGACAATCAAGACGATGATCGGACAATACGTGGGAAAAGATCATCGCACGTGGGACGAAAAATTGCCTTCACTCCAGTTTGCGTACAACACCGCGCTACACGATGCTACGGGGTACACGCCGGCCTACCTACTGCACGGCCGGGAACTAACCTCACCAGTCGACATGGACACGGCACCAACACCCGGGATAACACCGGACGCCGCGAGGAAAAATCTGGAAGAGGCATATGAATTGGTCCGCATCAACCTAGCGCAAGCTTTCCAACGCCAGGAAAAATACTACAACATACGCCGCCGGAGATGGAAACCCGCGCTCGGAGAATGGGTGTGGAAAAAAGAGCACCCGCTGTCGAAAAAAGCAGACGCCTTCAACGCGAAGCTAGCACCGAAATATAGCGGACCATACGAGGTGAGGAATATTGTCTCACCCGTTATTGTCGATCTACGAAGCAAACGAGGAAAGTGGATCCGACATGTACATGTACAAGATTTGAAAACGACGATTCAAAACAAAAACACAC